ATACGGACAGATCTTGAGGGTTGTGTGACCACCGTGACAGAAGGAGAAGAAATAACTGAAGGTTGGAATGGAACAATATGTTCTGTCTAGAATAATTCTATGAAATAATAATGCATAGGAGTTAACGATGAACAAATTCCCCATCCCTGCATCAGAGACAGGGTTGTCAATAAGGGCTGTATAACCTGTAACAGCTGCTACAGCTGAGTATGTTTGATGGGCCCCTGGTGCTATGGGTGAACCAATATGCCTTTTGTTGATACAGTTCACCCATAATGATAAAGTAACACAGGTGAATCAAAACTTAATGATAGTGCTAGCCCTGACTATAGAGAGTATTTACATGGAGCTGAGAAAAGTTGTTATCTATTTGGTAAGATGGTCAACTCCACATATACCCCTTCCCTCTCAGTCCTTCCAGCTTTTAGTGACCAAAGTCAAGTGTTACAAATGAATCTCAAATAAACTGTCTCAGCTTACTGATCCAAAAATTGTCTGGCTCAGCCTTGCACATGCATATTTTCTCTTTGGAAATAGGCTTACAAGGAAAGCTTGCATAGCTCCAAGGAAAAACCGGACAGGCTCACCTGGAAGAACTTCTGTAACTATATGGTACAGCAATATATGTATGTTAAACATAGTCATTGTCTTCCAGGATGCTATGCAACTCAAAGAAGCAAATGCTGTGTTTTCCCATTTTGGTACCAAGGTCAAGAAAGTTATTCGTGTATCAAGGACAGTCATAACCAGCCCTGGTGTGCAACAACTGATAATTACGACCAGGATCAACTCTGGGACAACTGTCAAGGTACAAGCTTATCAGCTTCATTCCCAGGCCTTCTCTTCTTCTTGATCTCCCTGAGCACGAAAAAAAAAAAAAAAGGCCTGGTAATTAGGTTGCCTGTTCAATTCAATTTTAATAAACCTCTTGACAATATGAGCATCAGCACAAGTAGTTAAGAGCCATTATTAAGATCTGTTGATCTTAATAGGCTGAGAATTCCTCTCAGGAATACAATAATTAATGTCTACCTCAGGTCACCCATCATTTACTTGCTGCCTCACCCTGGACTGCG